TGTGAAACACAGCAGTGGTGGCCTACATTTGTTCTCACAGGCTTACGGTTTCTTCTGAACACAAAAGCTGGAGGAAACATAGCACTTGACCCTTCAAGTTGGTCTAAAATCTTCTCCAAATTAAATATTTATTGTGAATGTAAAGCAAAGCTTTGAAACTATCATAACTCTTTATAGTATTAATGAACTTGATAATAGTTAACTTGATTATAGCCCCTATTACAGATATGCCATGGACACAGTGAAGAAACGTCCCAAAAATTAGCATTAGAGGCACAAATCCCATGTTTTTGCTTGAGAACTATTATATAAACTATATACGCTATTAATGTTTTTTTATTGCTAGTTTAAGTGTTACCAAGTGCTTGCTTCGATCAGATATCTTTTTAACCTTGATATTTATGTATTTATTTATTTTTTACTTACCTTGACCCTACTGTTTGGACCACAAAGCGAGTGTGCATCCCAGTCGGAAGCTGACTTGAAATCCTCTTTGTGTCTTGATATGTGGCAAGTCATGTGTTTCTGCCAAGCATCTGTTGCTAGGACGAAATACAAAAGACAGTAATACACACTTTTTGTGCCAGTAAACTAGTGAAGTGTAAACCTGCTTGCGTAAAAACCTCTGATGTGTACAATTGTAATGTTAAATATTTGATAAATATTCATAAAAATGTTGCATGCAATTATTCGTAAGTCTAAAAACTTTGTGAAAATGTTACATGCATATGATTGTTTGATATGGATTGCTAAAACGAAGATTACTATTGGTCATATACATACAAACCCTTTACCCATTCACCCTCATTTAATATCAGAATATTATACAAACTTGTGTCACTTGGGGGTGAAAGAAACACTAGAAACACAAAGAACACCCTAGCAACCATATATGAAGAAACCAGCATTGGTAACCTCTCTATCTCACAAGGGTTCCCAAACTTTTTTTGTCAGCCAAACCTCATATGCCGGGTTCAGACTATATGATATTTTTGTCAGTCACAATAGTCACTGTGTCAGATTACATGATTTTGACTCCTAAAATCTTGTCGTGTCCTGGACAAGAAACATGTCAGACTACACGTTGCTTCCCGACCATTCATCGCGTGCCGTTTTTAATGACATGCGTGATGTCATCGAGAAGGCGGAACTAGTGACTGACTTCCGAAAACAATAGTGTAAACATTGCTGAAGCGCTTCCGCTATAGTTCGCCAGCATTTTTCTTTCTGTGTTCTGTCGTGGTAGTCCCTCGATGACACATCATACATGCAGGAGTACTGTTGCCACAGCTCCACGAACCTTTCCTCCATCTCATTATTCCACCTAGTAGCACCATCATCTCTCTTTCGTTTTGCCATGTTTGAAACCGGTGTATGAAAGAGCTTCTGTGCTGCTATTGGTCAATGTCACCAATGTGACCGAACTCGTCATGGACGACGGAAAAAAAAATTAAACATGCTAGTCTTTCTGTCGTGATGTCGTGAAGCATCGCAGATGCGGAATCGGTTGTCGTCCACTATGTTTTTACGAATCCCCACAGCACCCTACATCAAGCAAATCGGGGAAAAATCAGTCTAAAATCACGTAGTCTGAACCGGGCATTAGAACAAACACATCTACTTGAAGTACCCCCTGAGATTTCAAGTTCCCAAATGCATTCCTAAATGCATGTTAAACTCACAGCACTTGCAGAGATGGAGTTTGTGAGAAGCAGCATTTACTATGAAATGAACTGCACATTATTATAAGCTGTGCGCGAGTAAATGAACACAGTGCTCTTCACTCTGAAACATGCAGGACAACTGACTATGTACCTAATAAAAACACAACCCTTGATTTCATAATCATGATTTGATAACATATATAGCCATTTCAGTTTTATTTCAATTAATTGTGCAACCTCATTTGTTTATTATAATGTTCCATTCCATTTCGTTTATTAGCTTTTCATCAACTCACAAAACCCCAGTTGGAAAACCCTGCACTATCAAATCTACTGCTGTTGGTTGTACTTTATGCCTTCATGTAGGCTTCTTCATTTCCAATTTAACTTTGTTAAATTCCTGAAAAGCACAGTCACCATCAGCAAAAGATTAAGAGAGCATGACTTCTGATGTAAATATTGTGCATTCAGAAAGATTCACTTTGAACTGCCAAGCCTACCAATTAATTTATGTCTGCAAGCATACAGGTCTTGTAATGTTCCAAAGGCCATTCATTCTACTACAGACAGACGTGGGAAGCTTGTACTGCCTCAACACCACAATTCGCAAACCCATGAGCATTGAGAATTATTGTTTTTCTGATCTGTGCATGGCGCAAGAATGTCATTGAATACTTGCTCTCAGATACAGTAAGAGGAATGTGTTTGGGATACTGCTCTTTGCATGTGGGATGTTGCACAGTGTTGCTAGTGAGACTGGGACTCTCCAGCATGAAGTGGCAGCTCAGCTAAGTCCCTTTTTGGACACTGAGCATACTCCCCCCTCGCTTTTCCCATAAGCCCCTGGTGCATGGACAAAGTCCCCTTTGTGTGGGTCGTAGCTCTTGGCTAGAGAGCCCACAGCTTTGAAACTTGTTTGAACGATGCGATTTTCATTTCTATCTGTCCTTTGCACTCTCTCCCATACTAAACTCACCCATGCTTCTTTCTCTCCCTCCGTCCCTCGCTTGTTTCTTCTGTCCTGGGCCTGCTTAGCAACAGCATGAAGCGAGTGCCCACTGAGGCTTAGTTCATGGTATCCTCAGCAGAGTTGTCTGTATGCATCGCAGGGTCACTGTGTGTGTAGACTTTGTAGAAGAGAGTTGGGACAATGAACTGGTCCAAATGAGATAAAACAGAACTGCCTAGTCACTTCCTGGTCATTCCTGGTCTGATCATTTAAAAAAAAAAATCTACGAATGTATACTTTGAACTTTAAAGTTTAATTTTTAAACTATTATTTAAATGGACATCATGTATTAAAATTCTTCCGTCTTGATATATCAGTATATGTACACTACCATTCAAAAGTTTATTAAGTCAGTAAGAAATCTCTTATGCTCACCAAGACTGCATTAAATTGATCAGAAATAAAAATTACAGTAAAAACAGTGTTCAAAAAACAGTTATTATTATTATCAATGTTGAAGAAAAATACCATGGAAGTCAATGGGGACCAGCAACTGTTTGGTTGAGAATTCACCTTATTGGGTGAATAATTGATGACAGAATTTTCATTGTTGGGTAAACTATTCCTTTAAAGCCTCCTTGCTGTATAAAAGTATTAATTTCTTTAAAAAAATCGTACTTTTGAACGGAAACGCATTAACATGAATTAATGAACACAAGGATTAGCACTATAGCATTTATTGTAAAATAAAAGTGTATTAAATTTGTTCTTTTTAAAGTGTTTTTTTTTTTTTAAGAATTCTTCTCCAAAGTTAACATGAACTCATGGCAGACTATCAAGGCAAGACTATCCAGATTTTTATAGCCTCAGTTTAAATGTTTTGAATTGTAAACGTGTAATGGTGTGCAATATGGTCTTGTAATTGGTATTATGTACATTTTGGAATTACTGATTTTTTTTTACAGCTAGTATAGTTTTAGGTTATCACTAAACATAAGATCTTTGACCTGCCTTTTACCATATCAGTAGTAAAAGTTGAGGAAAACACTGGCTTTGGAAAGCTAGTGTAATGTGCAGCACTTTACAATCAGATTCTGTAGTGTAATTATCTTTTCAACGAAACACAAGTGCTTTGTGGATAGTAATTCTGTCTGGAGGTTTTGTCAGAAATCAGATTTGTTCAGTGCAGAGCTGTACAATCTAAATACTTATTTACTCCAACAGCATTGTATCCATGATGCTAATGTTGATGTTATCAACATTAGAAGATGTCAACTAAAGTCAGTGACATCAGCAATGGAAGTTGAATCAGAGGACAACCTGTCTATTTTTACATTACAATATATGAAATGCCTATGCAACAGTTTATTCACATATGCCACTTATACCAGTTATTGCTGAACATTTACTGAACAGTGAAAGGTAGTGAAGAATAATCACCATGACCTTTCACCTTAAACAATTCTTTTTTGAAAAATTCAAAAATGTCCCAATCTGTTCTATTTTGGTTGATTAAATGATGCAAATTAAATAAACTTAACTAATGACTGAATCAACTTGAATATAAGTAAATTGTATAGTTTAGGTCAGGTAGAAATAACTCATTTCATATAAGATAACACTTTAATTTTCACTGTCAGATTTTGCCAGTTTTGATGATGAACCTTTAATGCGGGACTCAAGTTAGTAAGATGAGTGAAGAGTTATTTAGATTAAACTTTACTGTTTACTTTTTTCCACAAGAATGAATAAATATTCAAATTGGAAAACAAGCGAGAAGGAAAGCGATGCCCTCTTTTGAAGAATGAACAGTTTGTGAAACATTTCCTAATTGTTAATGAGGGGCTCAGGGAAGGGTGCCAAATTCGGAGGGCCAATGGCGAGGGGGTACAGCCAGAGCAGCCGATGGGCGGACTGTTGCTCTGGGTTGACAAGTGGGGACCCTCTTTTTAACTCCCTAGGTGTCACTGTGTTAGAGTGGGGTGTACAGGATAGCAGACGACACGGAGAGCTCTAATGACGGTCTGAGTGCTGCGTGGGGTCTCGTGTCTTTGACCTCCCTCCCTCTCTCAGCCATCCTCATCAGCTTTGATCGTGTTCAAAGTTCAAAAGTGTTTTGTAACAGGGTTTTAGGATGAATGCAACAGATAGCAACCCGGAGAACACGTCTGAGAACAATAATGTGGAGAAGAGTGAGGCTGGAGAAGAGGAGATGATGGAGTCTGATTCCCATCAGGATGTGGACCCAGATTCAGACCTGTCTGCGGTCAAGATTCCTCCTCCACCAGAGCTGGAGATCAGGCCTAATGGCATAAGTGATGATTGCAAGCCGGAAATATGCAGGACTGTACCTTCGCCTCTGACTCGCAGTATTTTTCCTGTTGCAGTCTCACCTGCTGCTGAGCGCATCCGATTCATCCTGGGAGAGGACGATGACAGTCCTGCGCCCCCTCAGCTCTTCACAGAGCTGGACGAGCTACTGTCTGTTGATGGCCAGGAGATGGAGTGGAAGGAAACTGCCAGGTACAGTAAGAATGCCATGGCTTGGCTGAGTCTCTAGTGAGGCTCAAAAGGAGACCCGACAGTCTTGTTTTAAATTTGCAAACAGAGCTCTTAAAGTTTATTAAAGTTTTTAGGAATTATAAGTTAACTTATTTAAATATATATATGTATATATACCACTAAAATTCTGAACAGTAGTGTAGATCAAATTTAATATTTAAAATTTAAATTACACTTAAAATATATATATATATATATATATATATATATATATATATATATATATATATATATACACATACATACATACACACACACATATATATATATTTATATTTATATATTTTATTTCATGTTTGGTAAAATAAATTCAGCATTGGAGAACATAAGAGACTTCTTTCAAAAGCATTTAACAATTGTACCAACTCCAAACTTTTGAATGGTAGTGTATTTTCAGAGAAAAGGAGAAAAACAGGACACTTATGTTCTGTTTTCTATAAAGACTTTTTTAAATTACTCTTTCAGACTTGTTATACAGGCACCATACAATTCATCAAAAGAAGATTCAAGTGTACTGGCTCATTGCCAATGACTGCTTGGTGCCAGTATACGAAGACATTTTAAACACTTGACAGTGTTGATTCCGACCTGATTAATCTTTAGGGAAAGGTGTGAAGAAAATATATATATATATGTTTCCAGTTGGCTTAATATCCATTAACAGCACATCCGATCGTTTAACAAAAACTGCTGCTTTAAATCCCTGTGATTTTGAGTTAATTTGTGCTGACAGTTTGGTCTCTGATGAAAGTCGAGTCTTGCATGCAACACACATTAATTATGGAGCTGTGCTGCTCTTGAAAGGATTCGATCATTCAATGAGAGGGGCAGTTTCATGTAAAGTTGAGTGGCACTCCAGGTGGTCCCCTATCAACAAGCATTATCACATGCCACAGCGGGCATTTAACAGATTACTACGAATAAGTACCAGAATGATTACTGTTGATCTTTTCATTTTCAGTCAAGATTTTATTTGAGAGATTGTTTTAGAGATGAGATTACAGACTGTTTGTGTATTTTTGGATTAAGGATTACATATTTAAGCCTTTCAAGCAGGGTCATTAATTTTAATAAAGTTATACAAGGGGGAAAATTAGAATTAAACATGAGTGCTATTTGATGTCTGGGACTGGTATTTGTCTCTGATACTGTAGATTTAAGAATATATATAGTGGATTTACAAAGATACACTACCGTTCAAAGGTTTGGGGTCAGTAAGATTTTTCCTTGAAAAAATGAATACTATTATTCAGCAAAGACGCATGAAATTGATCAAAAGTGACAGTGAAATACATTTTCATTGTTACAAAAAATATATATATATTTAAAATTAATGTTGTTCTTTTGAATTTTTAATCCTAAAAAATAATTCTGAAAAACTCTATCTCAGTTTCTACAAAAATATTAAGAAGCACAACCATTTTCAGCTGTGATAATAAGAAATGTTTCTTGAAATCATTTTTAATCACCAAATCATTTTTAAATCAATGTTCAATTGACTTGCAGTTGCACTTTCATATAGAACTGTTCACATGAGACTTAATTTCAACTTCAGTACCTTCAACTGTGGTTTCTTCTTCGAAGGTGGATCAAGTTCGAAGAGAAGGTGGAAAAAGGTGGGGAGCGGTGGAGTAAACCGCATGTGGCCACTTTGTCCTTACATAGTCTCTTTGAGCTTAGGACGTGTATAGAGAAGGGCACCATCATGCTGGACCTAGAGGCAAACACTCTGCCAGGGGTCGTTGGTAAGTGTTTCTTCTGTAGCCATTTTGGGCTTTAATGCAGGGTACTTTCTGTCTTATTAAACGATGCTCTACTACCTTTAGCAGGGGATCTATGAACTCAGTGGCCCACGTTTACACTGGCTTCAGAGACAAACGATGAGATAACTGTTCTGTAAAATAAACAGCATGTTGCAGTCTTTGTTATTCAGTCTTTAACGATTATTTTATTTAACGTTTACTTAAAGGGATACTCGCCATTTTGGAGAATATCCACTGAACGCAAGCAGTGTACGCTATTCTTTGTCAGTCGTGACACAAGGATACGTTTTCTACGTGTATTTACGCTTTGATTTGAACGAAAACAGCGCATCCGTGTGGCGCGGCTGAGACAGAAGAGCGTACGCTGCTTGCGTTCAGTGGTTATTCTCCAAAATGGCGCTACGGTGATGCGGAGAGACACAGAGGAGACGAATTGTTGAATAAAGTTGTTATTTTTGTTTTCTTAGCGTACAAAAAGTATTCTCGTCACTTCATAAAATTCAGATTGAACTACTGATGGCAGATGGACTATTCAGATGATGCTTTTCATACTTTTCTGGACCTTGACAGTGTATTTTACTTGGCAGTCAATGTGACAGTCACAAGCCTCCCGATTTTCATCCAAAATATCTTAAATTGTGTTCTGAAGATGAACAAAGCTTTTACGGGTTTGGAACGATATGGGGTAAGTGATTAATGACTACATTTTAATTTTGGGGTGGAGTATCCCTTTAATATTTATATAATTTACAGATGGATTTATTTTCATTTCTTTATCATAAACATTTTGTGATTCAAGCTACTAATTTCAATAAAATAAAATATATAGCAATCAAATAATTAGGGATGAATCGATACCACTTTTTTCAGAACAAGTCCGAAACCAATGCATTCATTTTTGGTACTCGTCGATACCGATACCTATATTTTCACAGCATTTGTAATTTTTTTTAAATATTGGGTACAGAAACAAAATAATAATAATATGAATCATGTTAGATGGCTTCATTTAGCAAACAGATATTTCCTTCAGTTATTTCCACAATTAATTTACCTGTTAAATTGTATTGTAAAAGCTTTTGTTACTTTCACTGTTCAATTTAATGGTGCATTAGAGCAGCTCAATATTGTAATCACAAAACGTTTTCCTAAAATAATGCAGGAAACCACTCATTATACATTATACGAGTACGTGCATACTATTTTGTGTCACGCGCGCTGTACTCGGACCCTCGCATACGAGTAAAAAACTAAATATACTTTGGCCTTTAAAGCAAGCTAAACACGTTTGTATTGGTGCAGAATGAGAGAGACACTTATATCCTAGCGCATTTCACACAGTCTGCTAGTTTCACTTTTGCTATAAAGTCGTGTATGCTTGATGTTTAAAATAAATGTTGTTTATAGTGAATGCCCCTATAATTTTTGTTTGCTTTATATTTTCGATTTAGTTTTAATCCAAATGCATGCGCTAATGGAGCGAACAGCAATCAAGATCATGCAACAGAATTGCTCGCTCTCTGACTCTCTCTCTTGCTCTCCTTACCGTCAAATAACTTAAGTAACTTGTGCATTGTTTTACTTACTTGCTTTTGACATATCCGACTGAACTACAAACTTGCCAGTGATGTCTGTGAGATATTCACTCGACAAGCTCGCACATCTGTGCCGCTGCGATAGCGCATTTCACACAGTCTGCTAGTTTCACTTTTGCTATAAAGTCGTGTATGCTTGATGTTTAAAATAAATGTTGTTTATAGTGAATGCCCCTATAATTTTTGTTTGCTTTATATTTTCTATTTAGTTTTAATCCAAATGCATGCGCTAATGGAGCGAACAGCAATCAAGATCATGCAACAGAATTGCTCGCTCTCTGACTCTCTCTCTTGCTCTCCTTACCGTCAAATAACTTAAGTAACTTGTGCATTGTTTTACTTACTTGCTTTTGACATATCCGACTGAACTACAAACTTGCCAGTAATGTCTGTGAGATATTCACTCGACAAGCTCACACATCTGTGCCGCTGCGCGCTCAATTCCACTCAGCGCGCTCTGCTTATCAGCTCGTGCACATCCGCTATACAGGCGTGAATATTGAACATTATATTAATTAGTTACTTACATGTACTTCATAGACATTCTTAATCTCTAATAACTCCATTCTACTTTCTGTTGTCGGTGATTCTTTTTCTGGACACAGGCACGTTGTGTGGTATGGGCTTTTGGTATCGGGCATTTTTACGAGTACGAGTACAGTAGTGCAGTATCGGGCCCGATACCGATACCAGTATCGTTATCGGTGCATCCCTACAAATCATACATATTATAAAGGGGCTGGAAATACGAGTTACATATTTTAACATCTAAAGCAGAGATGCCCAAACTAGGTGGGCCAAAGTTGGCCAGTGGTGACCTTTGATTTGGCCATAATGCCATATCACAAGAGGGGGGAAAAGAGGGGGAGGGGGGACATGACATTAAAGCATATATTCAATTCTAGTGAATTTGTTAAAAAATAATGAATGTCCAACATGACATTGATATAATATTTGTGAGTATTATTTTTTATTAGTTGGATAATGACAAAGTGTTGCTGTACAGTTTTACAAACTGTACACTCTAAAAAATGCTGGGTTGTTTCAACCCAATGTTGGGTCAAATATGGACTAACCCAACTGTTGGGTTAAAAAGTGAATTTAAAAATGTAACCAAAATTTAACCCAACAGTTGGGTTAGTCCATATTTGACCCAACATTGGGTTGAAACAACCCAGCATTTTTTAGAGTGTACATATGAATATACACAATGTTTGTCAAATGGATGAAACAATCTAGCTTTATGCAGTGTAAATTTTGCATCAGTAATTGTTTTGTACAAGCTGGTTTTAGGAGCCATTTTTCTGTCATGGAGCTGCCATTTCTGTAGTGGAAGCATGCAGAATGGTTTAATGTAGGGCACCAGCATTGAAACCCTGTCGGTGGACAAAGGGCAAAATAAATATCATAAAGATAATACTTGAGATTAGACTCAGAGAAAAAGCTTTTCCAAATGTTCTGTAAGGACTGAGAGATAGCACGTTTGATATGCATGCATGGTCTCGGACAGCACAGCCCATCTATTCATTTGGTTTCCAAATGCTCACATGTCAGGATGTATTCATAGCTCTGTTTAATACACTCCTCTCTCAACCCTCGCTGTAACTCTGGGCTCAGATGCACGGGTGGTTGCATCCATTCAGGATGGCCATTTCTTTTATACAGAATTCAGAGTGTGAGGAAGATCAAGTTGAAAATTGTGTGGCCATTAAACAACTCTAGTGCACTGTTAGCAAAGTATGTGATTCTGGTGATTATTTGTAATGGCTTCCTTTTAGGAAGGAGGATTGATTGGAAAAAAATTAGTCATTTACTGCAGCTGTCTGGATTTAAGATGGCAGGTTAGAGATTGTAACCACTGCCACCAATCAAGTGAAATTCGTTAATTCACATTCTTGAATCCCCTATCCATATCTCTTACTCGGAGCATGATTTGTCAAGTCAAATTACCATTTTAAAGCAAATCTTAAGTTTGGCTGAGTTTAGCTCGGTCAACCTCATAGAGCGCCTTTTGAGCTAAAAATGATTTGAAGGATCAGCCATTAAGGGCCAAACCATTCACAAAAAGGGCCCGAGGGCCCAGGCCTCGTGTGTTTGACCCTCTTTTATAAAAATAGCCGTTTACAGGAACCACCAGACAATCTTATGCACAAGCCACTGCCTCATTAGATGTCCACTTCTGAAGGCTAATAATAGAAGGCAATGTGTCGCTTCACTGACACTCACTTCAAGTTCCTTTGGAGAGTTCAATTTCTAGTTAAAAGTTTGATGAACAGCAATATGTAAACTTGGTATTTAAATAAAACGATTGCTCAGTTGTGAAGGGATGTAATGAGCTTCTCAAAATCTATAGAAGTGAAATAACCATGAGGCAGGTCTCTTCTAATGCCAATTTTGTTTTCTCGCTGTCTCCCTCTCTCTGTTTGCCATTCACTGTGTCTCTCTCTTTCAGAAATGATCACTGACAGTCAGATTGAGAATGGTCTCTTGAAAGCTGACCTGAAAGATAAGGTCATGTACACCTTGCTGAGGAAGCATCGGCACCAGACCAAGAAGTCCAATCTTCGCTCCTTAGCTGACATTGGCAAGACGGTCTCCAGCGCAAGTAGGCTGTTTTCATCCCCGGATAATGGTAATATAGGTGCCAGTTTGGTGCAGTTATTTTTTACCTTCCTTTTTCCTTTTAAGCTATTGAGATATTTTTTTGTTTCTCTTTTTTTCTTTTAATTTTTTGTGGATTTTTTTTTTCTTTCCACTTTTCAAAAATATAATTTGTTAAAATACTTTTGCCTTTTGTGATTTTTTTGGTTTTATGCCAATTTTGTTTTCTCGCTGTCTCCCTCTCTCTGTTTGCCATTCACTGTGTCTCTCTCTTTCAGAAATGATCACTGACAGTCAGATTGAGAATGGTCTCTTGAAAGCTGACCTGAAAGATAAGGTCATGTACACCTTGCTGAGGAAGCATCGGCACCAGACCAAGAAGTCCAATCTTCGCTCCTTAGCTGACATTGGCAAGACGGTCTCCAGCGCAAGTAGGCTGTTTTCATCCCCGGATAATGGTAATATAGGTGCCAGTTTGGTGCAGTTATTTTTTTACCTTCCTTTTTCCTTTTAAGCTATTGAGATATTTTTTTGTTTCTCTTTTTTTCTTCTTCAGGTTTATGTAATTTTTTGTGGATTTTTTTTTTCTTTCCACTTTTCAAAAATATAATTTGTTAAAATACTTTTGCCTTTTGTGATTTTTTTGGTTTAGAATTTTTGTTGTGTTATTCTCAAAGATAACTGAAGAATACCAAATATTTGTATTTTCCTCTTAAAATTTTATTAATCATATTTACATCTTATCTTTACATTTTTACATATTTAAATGCATTAGTCCCACAGATCACAAGAATTGTTTTACTAATGTTTGACCAGTTTGCTGATTCATTGTTGACTCAGCATAGATTTAGCCTTTTTATGTTTTTCATTTTTTAATAAGTAGTTGTCTCTGTATGTTTTAAAGACTCCATGAAATCGCTCGACGAGCACATTCTTTTGTGTGTTGACACTACCGTTGAAAAGTTTGGTATTTTTTGTTAAATAAATTAATACTGTTATTCACCATTTAATTGATTAAAAGTGGCAGTAAACACATTTAATGTTGTTTCTATTTCAAATAAATGTTGTTCTTTTCAACTTTCTGTTCTTAAATGAACCCTGAAAAATGTATCACGGTTTCTACAAAAATTTTAAGCAGCACAACTGTTTTCAACATTGATAATATATTGAGTACCAAATCAGCATGTTGGAATCATGTGAGACTGAAGATGAGGCTGTTTAACAATACTACTGTATTGTCACTGTATTTTTAATCAAATAAATGCAGCCTTGGTGAGAAGAGACAACATGAATGACAAAACATGAAAAAATCTTACTGACCCCAATCTTTTGAACAGTAGTGTATTTTCTGTTACAACACGAGGTTTGTGTGTGACATATTAAAGGGATTGCATTTTTTAAATAACCAGTAAGCTTTAGTGACATCACAGCTATAACTATGATTTGCTACTTGCTAGTCAGTTATACAGTAGGTTGTATTAGGCAGAGCCGTTGAGAAACCGAGTTGCTACACGCTTTGATCTTGCATGGTCATGGTTCATGGAGCTCTCAATAGTTCCAAACAACTCCGCGCTGTCAATCTGTTTGAATGGGTTTAAGTAGGATAGACAGCAGTTTCACTATATTTGCAGCAATTTCTAGTGATTATTAACACATCATGTGCATTGATTGTGTATTGATAACCACGCTGACTATAATACTACTGGTATTACAATCGCATTTTATTCTGGGGAGTGATGAAGAGACAACAAATTTTTTTTTCTAATACGCTTATTATTTATATTACAATTAGCGTAGTATTTCGGGTTAAAATAGAGAAAACTTTTTTCAAATCCAGTGCAAAGAGGCAAATTAGAGACGTTTGGTGGACAGAAAAATAAAATTCCTATGTAATGCCATGGTTTAACCACTAGATGCCATTAAAGGGATTGCATTTTTTAAATAACCAGTAAGCTTTAGTGACATCACAGCTATAACTATGATTTGCTACTTGCTAGTCAGTTATACAGTAGGTTGTATTAGGCAGAGCCGTTGAGAAACCGAGTTGCTACACGCTTTGATCTTGCATGGTCATGGTTCATGGAGCTCTCAATAGTTCCAAACAACTCCGCGCTGTCAATCTGTTTGAATGGGTTTAAGTAGGATAGACAGCAGTTTCACTATATTTGCAGCAATTTCTAGTGATTATTAACACATCATGTGCATTGATTGTGTATTGATAACCACATTGACTATAATACTACTGGTATTACAATCGCATTTTATTCTGGGGAGTGATGAAGAGACAACAATATTTTTTTTTCTAATACGCTTATTATTTATATTACAATTAGCGTAGTATTTTGGGTTAAAATAGAGAAAACTTTTTTCAAATCCAGTGCAAAGAGGCAAATTAGAGACGTTTGGTGGACAGAAAAATAATATTCCTATGTAATGCCATGGTTTAACCACTAGATGCCCGTATGGCTGTTTAATAAATATAGCCTACATAGATTTAGCTCTACTCTATTTGCTGTAAAGAGTTTTACCGGTCATAATAGCTTATTTATTTTATGTTTTGCATTGTATATTTAGACATTATCAAACACTCAATGTTTAGAAGTTTAGCTTTTTTTAAATGTTGAATTTTATGACATTTATGTAAGAAGACACTATAAGTGAATGTTAAAAAAGACCAGCCTAA